CCCCAAAACCCCAAAACCCCAAAACCCCAAAACCCCATAGTATTTGGGTAAGATTGAACTTAAATAATTATTAGTTGCTATTAATGATATTCTCAAGATGTCTAATCTTGTTTTCGTATTCGACTGATTTAGTTTTCCACTCACTAAACCTCTCTTTAAACATCTTCTGGAATTCATCTCTCAATTCTTTTCTATCAGCATCTGCATTACTTCTTTCTGTAGCCTGTATATGCTCAATTTTTAGTTTATTTTGAGCATTCATGGCATTTATTTCCTTCTTTAAATTATCTTCAAGTTTTGTGATTTCTTCTTTATGCTTCATTTTTAGAGATTCTAGTCCTTCTTCATAGAATTGGACCTTCTGGTCATACTCTGAGTCTTTCTCCTCAAGAGTATGTAGAAGTTCAATATTGTTGTTTTCATAAAACTCAAGTCTTTCAAGTTTATGCTGGTTCTCAATGACCTTCATGTCTAAGTCAGTTATGTCAAGTATTTTTCCGTCCATGCTGACTGCTTGGGATCCACTTTCAGTTTTAACTTCATGACTGCCTCTTTCTTCACAGTCTTTGAGATATTTCTTGGCGTAAAATTCAATATCAATTGCGTCCTTTTCTTCTTTAGGTTTGTTTTCTTTTTCTTTTCTATATTAAGAGTTATGCTTGTGAATTCTTAAGGGAATTCGAATAAACTTTGTTACCAAGCTCAGAGATTATTGGCACCTAATAGGTGACACAATAACTTCTAAATTATGTTTTAAAGTTCTATAACTATCTCCTACCTCTGTCGATACTCATTTTGGTTAATAATATCAACTTGAGCCTCGCACCTTTTCTGTAGCTCATATAGTTCATCTTCCAAATCTTCTTTCTGTTTCTTTAGTTTGTTATATTTTCTGTGAATTAGCCTAGAAATGTTACCGAGTGTAGCCTTCTTCAATTATTCTGAGTTCTTTATTTATTTCTGATATCGTTATCAAGTCTTTCTTCTTTGAGTTCTTGCTCCTTTTGGTCAAGTTTGTTTTCAAGAATTACTATTTTCTCAGAAAATTGCTGTAGTTGCTCGGAATTTGACATTGATGAAGTACGACCATAACCTAGTTCTTCTAGTTTCTCTTGTAGTTGTTCTACTTGGTCTTCATATCTCTCTTCAATCTCCATGAGTTTCTGGTTCTCTGCTTTCATTTGTTCAAAACGAGATTTGTAGTTTATTAACGATGAGACTTCTTCTGTCAATTGTTGATTATGATCTCTGAGGTCATTGATTTCAGCCTCGAATTTCATAACTGATCTGTTGTGCGAATTCTTTTCAGTTTTGAGTTCATATTTTAACTGATCATTCTTTGCAGAGAGACTTGCATATTTCTCTTTTAGAGCTTCCAGTTCTCCTTTTATATTCTTTGATACATTTCATAGGGTCTCTTTTTATCGCTACTTCTTACAGAGCTTTCTCGTTCGATGTCTCTTGAATTATCAAAGTCTTTCTTCACAACAAAGTCGCTCAGTTGTTTCTCGTACATTTTAAGTAAATTATGGACGTCGGGTTGATTACTGTTGTTCTTTCTTTCATTGTCATTCTTAGTCTCTTCTATTTGGTCAAAATCTAGCATATTAATGCTATCATACTCTTGCCTATCTTGCTTTTCAAATCTCTTGGTTTTATGGATATCTCTTGTATGTGTGATATGAACTGTATCTTGATCACCCTTTGGTGGAGTATGAACCCCTTCGAAATATTTTTGTTTTGACTGGTTGAACTCATTAGTTCCATGTGGTTCTCTTATTTCAGGAGTAACGTCCTCAAAGATTATTTTATTTCTAATGCTTTGGGTATCATTCTCGCTTTGAAAAGTGCCTCTGGATTGATTGTATTCTTGAGCATGTGCATATCCTCTAAAGAACTCATCTTCCTCCTCATCTTCATACTTCTCAGGTAAATTATCGATCATATCATCATCCAGAATCTGGAACCTTTGGTTTTGTGAGTCATTCTCTTCTCTTCCTTTGATTTCGTTAATTTGTTCCTTTTGAGAAAACTTGAAATTCTTTTTAGCAGAAATAATCAGCTTTACTGCTGTATTCTGATAGTCTCATCTTTCTAGGTCAAGATCTATTTCTTGGTTTTGGACCTTTCCCTTCCTATCTCTTCTTTCATTGATAATTCTACTCAGGTTGACATTGATGATGCCTATAAAGACAGGCTGGGAGTAATCAGCATCATTGACATATCAGGATATTTGCACTTTAGACCCATCTCTGTAAGCACTAGTTTTCTTACTGAAGTATAATGACTGTTGTAGTTTGATCGACTGAGCTATGAGGGTGTGTTTACTACGAGTGGTGCATTTCTCTTCAGACACTATCCTCTTCATCGTACCTTTGTTCCAAACTAGGATGACCTTTCCCTCGAGGTCTAGGGATTGAGAATACAATGAGTCGAAATATATAGTGAAGTCGTATAGAATTTCCTCTAAATCGGGGTTTCGCTGCATTTTTAAATATTTTTAATAACAATTGTATTAAATTACTTAGGGGTTTTGGGGTTTTGGGGTTTTGGGGTTTTGGGGTTTTGGGG